TCATTTTCTAACTGCCGTTTAATATATGTATATTAAAATCAAACAAACAATATAAAATAGATCACAAGAAAACATTTGGCTTACATTTTTCTAGAATTATACAGAATCAAATGATAAAGAGTATAAATTTGAAACTGTCATAACAACGTTTAACTTTTATGACTTAATTAAATATTTATTAAATTAGTCCAATCTGGACAATAACTGGCATAATTCTATACATATGATAATACGGCTTAAATAATAATATATAAATATTTAATATATTTTAATATAATATAATTTAATTTAGTTAAATATATTTTTGATATGTATAGGGTCTATATAAATATTTTTCTTGAGGTTTGGGATAGGAACAGACGTACTATAATATATATATATACATATTTATATATATTTATATAACACAAACATTAATGTTTTCGTAGATCGAGAAGTACACAATAAGGAAACATTTAATTGCTTTATACTTAAGTGTAATAAATATATATTGTGTGCAAATAGATTGTCGAGAGTTAGGGGCATTATATTATCATATCTTAATTTTTATATACTTATACATTAATATATTATCGGCATATATGTAACATGTGGAAAGTGCATATGTTATAAATTGTATTTATCCTTATTCTCAATATAGTATGAAAGTTTAAAAATACAAATCCATTAGAAATGCATCACATTTGTATAAAATGGGCATTTAAATAGTCAAGTAAAATTACATTTATTATGTTTTGGTAAAAATATGTTCATATTTTATTGATTTTTGGTAAAAACCGTTTGTGATCTTTTTTGTTATTTGTGGTAAATATAAACTTTACGATTTAATAGGTACAAAATTATGCATCATTGATATATTTTATATCTGCAAGTTTAAAAAATGTTAAACAATACTCAAAAGAGTGAAGGCGTATTTTATCTATATTATCAAATGTAACTTTTAGTTTTCGTTTCGTTTAAAAGTTTGTTGATTCTTTGAAATGAAAAATGGTTAGTCATTAATGATAGTTCCGAAAGAAGGAGACTTACGTATCTCAAAAACGTTGAATATAATAGCCTGCTTTTCAAAATAACGTAAACTTTTATATCAGAAGTTTAAAAATCATAATAAGTCGTTTTTAATGTCTGTGTCTGTATCGAGTCATTTTATTTCTAAAAAATTAACTATCTTAAAACTGTTTAAAAAAAATTTGCACTTACCCACATGTTAACACTTACCTTATACTTATCAATTACTTACGCATGGACTGGTATGTAATATTTTGGTTTATATCCTAATATTAAAATTTATCCATCTGTTTCCTCATCTGATGAGTCTATTCGGTCTTCTGCCAAGGAGCTCTGTTTTGTTAACTAAAAATGTGAAAAAAACATTTTAATCAAGAAAACAATACATTTTAAATTGAATTTGGATATAGTAATTAAATTATAAGGTCAACTCACATAATTTCGGTTCCACCTGCTGCCACTGGACGGTGCAGTGGGTACTTTGCTCCAGAGTTGTTCTAGTTGATCAAAATGTTGCTGAGACTTACGCAAAGCGTCTTTCTTTTTACTTCTACATTAAAAATAATAAACATTGGTTAACGATAATCAGTAATTCGTCTAGTTAGAAATATCTAACATTTTGATAAATTTTATTACCCTTTTCCCTTTCCATTTCCGCCCTCATGCTCCAAATTTGAACCGGAATTGTTTTCGGCCAACTTTGATATTTCTTCCATTGATGCAGACACTGAGAATCGCCTTTTTAACTTCTCGTCCACCTATAAATAGAAATCATATATAAAATAGTCCAGGTACTGGAATAGGGTGATAAACCACTTCTTACTTTAGAAGAAAAACAACTGCAAAAAATAGATAAAACTGACAGAAGTCCAATTTTGAATGTTGAATATTGGCTAATGTTAAAATACAGCAATAAAATTACTTTTAAGATCTTGTATGGAACTATTAATAATATAATATATGTGTGTATTCTTGATAATTCAAGTTTTTTCATATTAACCTGTGCCATGATGGTGCTGCTGGCAGTAAGATGACCATACTTTTTCTGCCAGGAATAAGTGTCCAGTGATACTTCTTTCTTTAACAATTTTCGTAGTGGGGGCGCTGGTTTCCGCTTACTCAGTCCAGTGCCGCTTCCGCCGTGATGAATGCCTAGCCCTGCTCCATAGGACTTTAATTTGTTGAAGGTGAGTCCAGGACCGGTCAATTTGTCTACAAATCATAAAAAAATAGTGATAAATAATCATTTCCTCAATGCAATTTTATGTAGTCACATTTAAAAAAATATGTTTTGACACTATATTATACTGAATTACCAAATTAAAAAGAAGCTTTTTAAACATCACTGTAAACACCGTGTAATTTGAGCGGCGGTAGCAATCTGAAAACCACAAGCGTGTGACACCAATATGGAATCTATGTGGATTTCAGATTGCTAACGCCGCTCGGTGTTTACTGGGATCGATTTTATATTCGAAAATATTTTCGTCAAAAAGATAAATTCTCAAAGAGTTAAAAAGTATTAATCACTTTTGACAATATTAAATATATTCTATTTTATTAAATTTATTACCAGAAACAGAATCCTCGCTTTCGGCATTGCTGGCACCTCCGCCGTCGTCTGATCCAGCACCTGCTCCAAGTAGGAAAATGTTTTCCTCTATCTTCCTGAATACTGCAGGCGTGTTATGCAAACAGATAACTGATATTCTACCTGCTGCTGGTGTCGAGAATTCAATTCCTGCACTTTGCTCATATGACGACGATATGCTGTTATCTGTCGTGGGAAAAAATACATAATTTTAATTTTGAAAATTCATGGACATAGTCACCATGCAAAACGAATAATTTCTTGTTTTTCAAAGTTGAACTAATACTGATCTTCATTATTATTTTAGACTTACCTAAAGATAGTCTGGCAATAATCCTATTGCAGTCGTTTGCGACGCACATGTTTAAAATGCTTGTGCAATGCAGGTGTAAAGAGGTCAAAGCCAAACCGCGCTTCAGTTCCCAAACAATTATTGTACCATCATCAGAAGCTAGAAATGATAAACATAATATTTGTAATTTAAAACCAAAATATATTCAATGTACAATTAATATTTATTTTATCCTTACCGCTAACACAAGTGCTTCCGTCTCCACTGACATCCACTCGTCTAACTGGAGCAAGATGACCGCCGAGCAGAAATAATTCACTTCCAGTTTCGACATCCCATAAAATAAGATTGCAGTCTAGGGACCCGGTTATTAACCGATTATATTTGGATTTTAGGTTTGTAGTTAAAGGTTTTGAGGCTACTGAGGTTGAATTGGTAGATGAAGTCGTATCTGGAGTTATGGTATAGGAGAGACATGTGACACCGTCTGTGTGGCCGACTAGGACCTAGAATGAAAAACAGTGAGTTTAGGATTTTTTACAAAAGAATACAATTTATGGGTTCCTAAAATTCCAGTACCATTAATACTATCACCCAGTTTCGGTTTGACATTGAGTCCTGAGAAACCCTGTATATATACACATATTATAACCCTGTATATATACGCATTATTACAATCTGCTCTCTATTCAAGAAATTTTAACTTGACCAGTGACCTTTAATTTTTTTGCCATACCTGAGCAAGTTTTCCTCCATCAGTCTGCCAGACTTTCAACGAAGCATCGCGAGATCCTGTCACCACGTAACGTCCACAGTGACTTGGTGAAAAGCACTCGATGACGTCACTGTGCGTCACGCAATACTTGACATCATTCGATTTTCCGGAATTGGAATGATTCGAATCTCCTTCGGAAGCATTTAGGGACAGTATTGTCAAACTGCAGTCGAAGTTCGTGCACATCTGGTAAAAATATCACATATTAATTATATAGGAATGTCTTCTCACAGTAGACCATTGTATATAAAGATATTTGAGTCATCTTTGTTTTTGGTAAATTTATTACTTTTAGATTTGGAGGAAAAATTTGATCATAGTTTTTTTATAGAGGAAGTAAACTGATGATTGGGTTGTGTTAATTTATCAATTTGAAACTGCATTTATCCTCAAAATTGAAGTCAGAAACATTTTTGTATTTTCCACGCGAAATTGAACTTTTGGTAAATTAATTCTAGAGAAAACTTATGAAGATTATGGTTGTCCTAGCCAAGTTGTTATCTATAATAATTAAGTAAAAGATTAGTAATAATAGTGCCCTAAGGCAGGCTCGAGAGCTAAGATTCATGAAAAGATAGTGTGAAAGATTTCCCATTGATATTTCACACAGGAGTGCCCAAAATGGGCTTCATTTCAAATGGAAACATTCTTAGAAATTTTTAATTTAGCATCGCTACTACGCGATATCTGGTCTTCCAGAGCGCGGGCTCGAACTTGCGGCCCTGTCCACACAAAGTCAGCGCGTTAATGAGCTATACCAGCGTTTCTCAAACTTATTTCTTCCATCGCCCCCTTTGAAGATCAAAATTTTTGTATCGCCCCCCTACCAATTTTTTTATCCAATCTCTGAACACTGTTTTTTTTTTACTTTTATTAATATAGTTATAGTGTGATATATTAGTTGATGCAACCTTACATTCTAAATTATACATTTTTACCAGTGAGGGCAAATAAAATGCAACTTTATGACATTAGTCATATATATTATATATTATAATCAACTTAATAGAAACAGTATATCAAATTTTAGTTTCAAACTCTAATGAGAAGGATGAATTTGATGTTTTTTTACAAGTTTGTCAATATCAGGTTCCATTTGACTCAAAAAAAGTCGTAAGTCACCGCGTTTGGTAATTTGCAACTGATTTCTGTTTTTAGTAAGTAGCATTGTCACAGCGCTAAATCCACGTTCACACAAATATGACGATGGAAATGCTAGGAAAAATTTTTGAACAACCGACCACATGCCAGGGTATAACTGCTGAATTGACTTCTGTAGCCAAAATTGTTGATAACCATCTTTAAATTTGATTTTTAATTCTTCATTTGTTGTTAATTCTATAAGCTCTTCTTCTAGCTGGGCTGATGTTTCTACATTTGCATTTGAAAAAGGTTCTAATACCCAGCCTGGTATTTCCAAATTGAAAATATCTTGAAATCTTTCAATAAAATTGCCATGAAGATTTTCCAAATGTTGGCAAGTCTTTGTTGCACGATACCGATAAATTTGGAAAATTATGAAACTACCGTTTTCCAATATCTTTCTTATGTAATAACAGTTTAGCTACAAAAGCAGCGATGATATTTTTTGTTTTTATTAAATTTAAGCCATCGCCTTGAAGTTGTAGATTCATATTGTTGAGCAATGCATAAAGGTCTGTGAGATATGCTATATCATTTTTTGATGATACCAGGTTTTTGCACAACTGTGTGTCCTTATTTTCTAAAAACTCTATAACAGAGTCAAACAGATTGTAAAACCGGGTCAGACAATTTCCTTTTGATAGACAATTTTTTTGATAAAAAGCTATAAAATGGTATCAAAATCATTTAAATACCATAGAAACACGACCAAACTTATAAAGTACCAATTAATCGTTGGGATACAAATTCTGGTGAACTTTAAAATGTAAAGTAAATAAAATTACAAATGCTCCCTAACCCAACGTCAACAACCAACATTTTTAGCGAGGCCTTTCATCGCCCCCCTGGAGATCAATATCGCCCACCAGGGGGCGATATCGCCCACTTTGAGAAAGACTGAGCTATACCATGAGAAACACCAAACCCAAAACAAATACAAAAGAGTAGTATCATGAGAAATGTTGTAAAATTGGACTGTCGATACTTACAATATATCGCATATTTTTGGTGACATCTACAAGTTCAGATGGTGCATTGTACACTCTGATAGGAGTTGCTGAATCCACCCACCACAAAATTACCAATTCTTCACCTTTGCCGCCGCCAGAAATTATCCTTTTGTTGTCCCAGAGTACTCTGACGCAGGATATTGGTGCTTTGTGACCCTGAAAATTAAAAAATAGTTTTGTTAACCCTTTCCACTGGGATGCCAAAATTTATATCGATCTCGGAAATCGCGAGTGGAAAGTGTTAACTTTATAAACTGTATAAAATGTTTTGATCTACTAAATTTGTCTCATTGTTTTTAGACTGGAACTTTTACAAACATCCACCAATTGACCCAGTAAACACCGAGCGACACGGAGCGGCATTAGCAATCTGAAATCCTCATAGATTCCACATGCATGTCACATCGCTGAAGGCGAATGTGGACTTCAGATTGCTACCGCCGCCCGGTGTTTACTGGGTATTAAGATATTTGTTTTTTGTTTGCTATTTTACCATATTATTATATTTACATTTATTATTTTATTGTTTAAAATATTTGAAGATATAGTCAAAACGGCGGACGTTTTCATAATTTATTCAAGCAGATGTTTAGATATTTCAATACAGAAATAATGGCAACAATGTATGAATTTGATCTTACCCTGAATATGCTTATCCGCGATGAATCCGTTATCTTCCAACTGATGATGTCACCGTTCAGGAAACCAGCCGTAACAAATGTGACATCAGGCGACACTGTGACGCAGGTTACACAAGAATCACCACCACCATGAGAGCTACTGAGACTGGTCACGAATTTATCAGAGGAACCTGACAACGATTTGCCGATAGCGAATTTGTCTTTTTCGGCGCTAATTGTCTTATCAGAACTTGATGATGATTTACCAGTTCCTGGAAGAAATTAATTAAGTTGTAGATAATTTGTTTCTGATTACATTTACAATTACAATTAGCATATTGTTGAATACGTGCGTATTATGAGAAATGCAGTAGATAGAACCATATAGAAAAAACACAGTCCAAATCCAAAAGTTTACGAATCGTGGAGGACAAAAGATTAAATACACATTTACGGTATTTGGATTAATTACCTATATAGTAGGTTAAAATAATGTATCAGGCATGGACAGATATTAGTCAAATATTCAACATATATTAGAAAAACGTTAAATATGTTTCTAAAGGAATATAACTATTTTTCAAGTTTACCTGAAGTTTTTCCGTTGTCAACTGAATATGAAAACACATTGTTAACCGAGGAAGTGACTAAAGACCAGACTGTAACGTCACCATTGGAGTCGCCCTCTGCAAAGAATTGATCATCTCGTGTCACGTCACTTATACAGGTGACGTCACTTGTAGATGATGAAGTATTCGGAATTCTAGGTCTTCTGTGTCTCATTGACTTCTTGAGATTCTTTGTGAAACACTGAGAATTTATATTTGTTTCGCCTTCATCTCTAAAGGAATATACTTCTACTTGATCTCCAACTGAGAAGAAATAAGAAATACTAAAACCAGGGAAAGTGCAACCAAAATTTATTTAGGTATACATATACAACATTCAGCAGTATATGGAGTTATAACATAATATCATCTGCTTGTATTATTGACTTAATAAACATAAGTTAAGTCTCATGAAAACTTACCTCCAACAATTAGAAAATCATCACTCTCGCATATGCATATGCTCGTATATGTCTTACTATCGAGATCTTTATTATCATGTAGTTTCATATGCAAATACGCAGTGTCTTTTAATCTATCCTCAACATATATACTTGTATCGATGACTTGATGGCTTTTGTGAATATAACTTTTGAAGTAATTCTTTTTATTTCTGTACATTTTGAGCAATTTTCCAGAATGCAATTCGTATACCAGGACTGATCCGTCTGCGCAACCGACAACGGCGCGCCTGTTGTCATTGGCAATAGAGATGCACTGAATCTGGAAATTGAATTATAATTTAGAAATGATTTAATAATTTAAAATTTATAACTTCATAATTTGCAGACATTTTTGGATTAAAAATGAAATTTCGAAACATTTTATTAGACTATAACATTGACAATCCATTGGTTAAATATTTGTCATTATACTTCAGTTAGTATAATATAATTTATTTTAATAAAGTTATATACTTTATTTTTTAATATAATAACTAAACTAGTACCTCTGAATGCGCATCCTCCAATTTATGCAGCTCTGTTCCTGTTACCAACGATCTCACATAAAGACCATTATCTTTACAATGTGCCAGCAAAAATACCTATTGAAATTTATAAAATTGTTCATCATTAATTACTTATTATTCATAATTGCAATAATAGATACGTAGTAAAAACGTAGTAGTAATTAATGTGGGCTGAATCTACGGGCAATATACAATCTACGTTGTCAAATTTGAAGCCGATATCGGCTGGATATAAAAATTGAACATAGTTTTACCAACATTGGTATATATGGCTCATCCCACGTAAATAATTAACCCTGAACACAGGCATGTCTGGCCATTTGGGACCAATGTTGCCTACAAATTGTTGAATGTTGGTAGGTAATCCATAGATGTTGAAATAATATACAAATATTTGAAGATTTGAAGTGAAATAATATAACAAACTTATGAGAATTCTCATAAATCGAAACAAAAATGAAATAAAATTTATCATTCAAATGTATGCTGTTTCATTTTTGTGACTGAATTTGTATATAAAATTGGAATTAATTTTGCATTCAACGTTCAATTATTACTACAATCAATTTATTTCTATGTGCAGATTTCTACTTCTATTAATTTTAGACAATTACAGACCTTTCCACTCACGTTCCTAAAATTAATCATTTTATCTTTGCCAATTTCTACTCACATTATCTCCGCTGATGTCTAGTGATAAAACGCTATCCTGCATTTTAATACAATTGAGCAATTCAAAATCAGTCAAAGCCCAGATGCATATTGTCGTGTCCTGACTAGATGACAATAATATATCCTGCTCCTTATCGACGACTAGTGCTGTCACAGGACCTCTATGATGATCTATTTTGGTAATCTGGAAATTGACCAATAAATGGAATTGAAATCGATGGGGGATTTATAATTTATAAAAATATATCTTATATTAGTTGCTAATCACAAAAATAATGAATTTTAAGATGGTAATTTTAAAATCTAAAATGCGCCAAGAATGGAAAAAATCATTTACGCTTATTTATCTGCTATTTATGGGCGTTAGATAGTTAAAAACACACAGCACGTAAAATAAACTTTATCTAATTCAACTGTTTATATCATACTAATATTGCTTAACAATTTGTTAAACCCCTAAAGAGTTAAAAAAAATAATTACCATCTAAAAGTATACTTTTAGATGGTAATTATTTTTTTTAACTCTTTAGGGGTTTAACAAATTGTTAAGCAATATTAGTATGATATGAGCATATTTGTGATACTCCTCATTTTTATGGTAGTATATATACTACCATAAAAATGAGGAGTATCACAAATATGCTCATTTAATACTCCCCAAAGTTAAAACATTTATTGCAGAATATTTTAATGACTAATGTTTTTGAATAATCTATAATTTTATAATATAATATTCAATTCATTTAACAACCGTGAATATAATATTATATTAATATCAACAAACAGTTCTAGCTGATACAATTTATGCTACTCCTAATCCTAATAGCTGAGAATTTATTACTTCAATAACAAATTAAATTTCATTTTATATACAATAACAAAAGTGCAGATATAACCGTGTTATTAAAATCCATAAACTTTATTATAGCAACAAGCCGTATAAAATTAATATATAACATAAATCGATTTTATTAATACTTAAATTTTAATAGGTTTAGTTCAGTTTAATGGAGGTGACAATAAATCAGAATATAGAGTGGACCAAGTGCGCAACTAATAAAATTACTCATATTAGATAATTTACGGGTAAACAATCTAATGATATTTATAAAATTATATTATTCGTGCTTATTATAAAATTTTGGATTAAAAGAATTGTAGGATGTTAGAATGGACTTACGGTGGTTCCATCGACAAGTGATGTCACAATAATACTGGAGTCGTCGCCTGCACTTATTACTTCCGAATCGAAGGCGCAGCAAACACTTAAAATAGGTGCTATGTGCTCACTGAAATATGGATAAAAATAATAGTATAATTAGAAATAAAATACATATAAATATATGAAATCGTGGATCACTGGTTCTATGGATAACTTCAAGAAAATTTGCCGAAGAAACCATATCTCGCATGTGGCGTTCGAGCCAGCGAAAAATCAATAATGTTTTTTCTCCATATATTTAAAGATCAGGATTATTGGTTATGGAGTTGATAGTTAAAACGAAATGATTCCTTAAAATATTATAGGTCTATGAAAAAAGTTTTTTGGGCAAAGTTTCTTGAAATGTCTCATAGAAAAAGAATTGCAAAGTTTTAATTATCTATTACATTGAATTTCTATATTTCGTTTGATGATTATGAAATCATGTCTTACGTCTTTAAAACTTTAATGGGATAAAACATAAATAAAAAATAAAAAACTGTAGGAAGAATGAGAAGTATAATTTATTGGTAATTAGCATGCTTTAAGTTGAAAAAAATTATTGATTCACTTACAAAATACGAAACCGCAACCTTAGTTCTTTGAGATCCCAAATTATAACGGTTGTATCTTCAGAACCGGTCAACAAATATTGAGAACCTTTAGTTATATCCATGCAAGTTACAGGACCACTGTGACCTTAAAAATATGAATTTTATACCTATATTTAAAATAAGAACACAAACGTTTATATTGATAAATTTAATAAATAATAGAGAATATAACAAAGGCGGAACGTTGAAATTACTCACTGATCATGAATCTGAAAAAACTAATTATTACTAAGATATTATTATAGATATTGTAGAAATATATATATAGAAAATTAGTTAATATTGATAATATTACTATTTATTTTACATAATGGTTTGTGGAAGATATGCTCTTATGTGGAACAACAAACAAATCCTATGCTTTTATAAACGTAAGAAACGCGTGAAAATGACGATAGAAAAATATATTGACAAAATTATTGTATATATATATATATATATATATATATATAATATTGATTCATAAATTTTGACACAGAATGTCGAAGATTTTCTTTCTGGAAGAATACCGGTGTTTTTAATTTATTATCATATATTTTATAATTCATATCGTTGGTGACCCAAAGAGTTCAACCACTGGGTTAAAATTTCGTTAAAAATTGAATTCCGTTTTTAATAATTCAATAACTAATGTGAAATAAATTATCAATTTGAAACTCAAAGATGAGTACAATTTTTGTGCAACAAATAAATATATTATATCACTAATTATTATATTGCTGAATGAAATTCATAAAATCAGGTTTGTTTTCTAGTATAAGTATTTATAAAAGGTAAATATTTTCCGGCAATTGAAATATTTTTTTTGCATGGTTTTATTGCCAATCAAAATAATATACATTTTAATTGAAATAATGAACTAGAAAATCAAATAATCAAATATAAAACTATGTTACCTGTAAAAACATGAACTAGTCTATTACTCATTATGTGATACAATTCCAGGTGAGATTTATTGGCGCAGGCCACGACCAAGTGTTGAGAACCAGGAGTAATTCGCAGCAGATTCACACTTTGGCGGACTGTCATATGCTTTATATGTTCAGAGATAGGAGGTGGTAACCTGGAATTAATAAAACAAATTTAGTAATAATTTTAAAACTTCCGCAATAATAAAGTACACAGCACTATAAGTAAATAATATAGAGATATCGTTGCAAAGATTTTATGAGGTTAGTAAAATATAGTCTAGCAAACGAAACTCGAAATAATCAGAAACAAAAATTACCAAGACTCTACTAAAATTATTAACAAAACTATCATTCATTGTCTGATAATTATTTAAAAAAATTGAGCAATCGAGCTACAATATGCTACATTAATTATATATGAACCTGAGACACGTTGATATAAAAACATACATCAATTACAGTTCAAATTAACATCTACTTGAACATTTTTTAAAGGTCTAAAATTATGCCCAAGATGCAACCCGTAAAGCTCATTTTCATTCAGGGCTTTATGGGGATACAAATTGTACGTCATTGTTACTTTTCAAGAAGTATCTTTTTATAGAATTTTTATAATGAAAATAATTTTTACCAGGAATTCAAAGGAACCAGCAGGGGAGAGGTGAAACCATCACTCCAAGCCATCGAAGACGTCATCAACTGATTTAGAACGTTGTTCTTTGCGTCGCCTTCTGATCCTTTCGTTATATCTTTAGAAGCATTTGGAGAATTTAACTGATTATTAGCAATTGCTGATGAAGGTAATCCTAAAATATCTTTGGATGCAGCAATAAGTGGATCTTCAATGTCTGTGATGCGTTTCAGCCAACTTATCATCTAAAAATATATTAGATTTACATCATTCATTATTTTTATCTGATATATTTATAAATCTATAAACAAATGCGCCAAAATTATGTGGTTCTCAAGACTCACAATTGACGTGACACTGCGTTAACCCATTATTAATAACGTCATACTTAATTTCTAATAAATTTTACAATTTACATACTGCAGTTTTATGTACCATCATATGAAGTTCTATAGACAAATGATAAAAAAATAAATATATTATCATGTGACTAAATTCTTTACCTGAGCTGCCAATTGTGTTGGATCCCTAGTCAATGTATCAGAAGATTTTTGAATAATGTAATACACAATTTCGATATCCCGATCTAAAATAAAATCTCGGATTTCTTCCAACAGGCACCGTAAATAACTGATTGATACCATTTGAACCTAAACAATAAATTGTTAGTGATTTACATAAATTATTAAAGAATATAAATCAAAACTGATTCACCAACTAACCGATGCTAAAAGAAAATCGAAGTTGCAACAGCAAGTTTTCTTTAGGCGATCGAGAGAACCAGCTCGGAGAAGTTGAGTCCAATATTCCTCTACGTGTCGGAGATTGTAAGTGGTCGTAGTAGCCGGATTATCTGAACAAAAAAATTAAAAGATCGAAGTCTACTAATATCCCAATTAATTACTGTATATTAAGAGACAATCTGATGCTGTTTCCGCGGTCGATCGTTACCAGAAACTAATCAGCACGATTTCCAATTCATATCTTATAAATAGATTTAGATATTTAGAATTTTTAAAACCGGTTCATTAATTTTGGTAAAAATTTGCTGTTCATGATTTTTGACAATCATTTTTGCATATTTCTGCCAATTATAGAGAAACGGTAGTTTATAGGTTTTTTATCAGAAGAATGGAGAGTAACAATAATTTAATAAGAAGTCAGTCGTACCTTGAGAACTATCATCTGCCTCATCCAAAGCTTTTGGTTCATCTTCATTCAAAAACAAATTGGCGACCTACAGCATAGTTAAACATTGCTTATTGAATATATTATATTATATAACATACTTTATTATCCATTTAACCACCTGAATATGAGTTTGTTTCTGAACATCCCTTGTTAAAAATTTTCGCCTTACTATCACGCCCATCTGCTGATGTCGCCACTGGAGAACAATTTTACCAGTCAAGTATTTGTCCAAAATCAATTCGCCTGTTCAAGATACTCGTATTAATGTAAATTATTTGAAACAATATTGTATTACCTCGTATAAACTTACCAAAAGCTTCCTTAACAGCACGAAAAGTCCTGAAATTAAACTCTCCTTTTTCTTCAAATCGGCATCCAATCGGTTCATCATGAATTGAATCATCTTTCTCAATCGGTACCAGGAGCTCCAGACATTCGCTCTCTGTTAAACCGAATTCTGTGCAACAAATATATCGACAAAATTGTGCAACCGGTTCCATTCCGAACATATCTTGAAGTTTGTTTAACCGGTTTTCTAAATGCTGCGAAAATGTCGTAGTATTTTTGATAGTTATTTGTTGGGATTTAAAATGATTATCTGGATCTTCCTTGTTGGGATGATCATCAAGTGAATTGTGTTTCAAAGTGCAGCATAATGAAGTCGTGTGGTCCTGGTGGGATTTAGGTTGATAGTAATGCTTCAAGTAACTAGTGATATCTTCACAATTTTCTTGAAAAAGATCAGTAGAATTTCGTTTTGCTAGGAAGTTTCCACAGTATTCAAATACTTTTTGATGAGAATTACCATTATCATTGACTTTATCGTTCTTTTCCTCTGTGGTACCACTCTTTTCAGAACCACCTGAATTTTTCAGATTTTCTTGTTCTTCATCTACCAAAGTTTTATGCATATATTCAGCCAAACAATTCTCGCATCTTCTGATAGCCACACTATGAGTTAACTCTATGCAGTTGTTGACACTCTGCAGGCTTTTGTAAATATTGCTATGCTGATGATCACCAGCTCCTGGTTCGCGTTTACTGATCAATAACTGTTCATTTATATTATGCTCACTTGAACTTTTATTCAATCCATGTTGCTGGTCACTTAATATAACTTCTTGTTCACTCATTTGTTTATGCAAACGTTTTCTTATACTTTGTTGTGAAGGTTGCTCGCGATTTAATGGTGCATTTTGTTCGCGTAAATTTTGTTCACTGGATGAGATCTTCATGCCTTGGTCGTTGGAATTCGTAGAAAAAGGAGAATTAGTTTTATCATCAGTTTTTAATGAGTCACTCTTCATTAATTTCTGTTCACTTTGAGATGGGTTCAATACTGAACCAACTTTGTTAAAGCCAGGTTCATCATTAGTTGCTACAGTAAAGATGACAAAAACATTTCGCGGGTAAATGGCCGGCATATACATGTTCATTTCATGGTGATTCATCCCCAACAATTTGTGCAGATCATCAATGAATATTATAAAGACCTGAAATATAAAATAAAATTTGAAAAGTGATGAAGCAGTTTTATCCAATATGTATCTTTAGAACTATTGTAACATTTGAATAAAAACTTATTCATGCTTTTAAAACGCGACGAAGTATGGTAATGCATCCTGCAGGATAAAAATTACAGATGCAATAATTCGTCAAATAACAACAGTTAGATATGCAATTAATTAATTGTAGTAAATCCATCTGACTATCACAACTTGGATAGTTTGGTAAGTTTTTTATTCTATGTTGGGTTAAAATGCAAGTTCTTTCGAATCAATCCAAAACAATTATTTATTAAACTGAAATCGCAGACTACTCTACTATCCATCTACTATTATTATGTACTGTCTTCTTACCTCATCTCGTTCACCACAACACCTTATGATGTCCTTAAACCATTTACTGACATATCGAGGATCAAATCCTGCATCTTTCGGAAGATGTCCCTGAGGTAACGCGAGAACAAATGACAATTGTTGGCACAAAACACGGAAGAATTCTAAAACCCTGCAGGACCTCGGAGTAGCACGAGCTGTTCGAGCTATCCTTGTTACTGGACATGTAAACCTAAATAGAAATATTTAATTATAAAGCGTTGTCTAAAAGTAGTACAAACAATTGTATTTTCAATTATCTTACCATTGTGTACAACTCGTATAAGCATCATACAGCAAAGTCGTTTTACCGACACCTTGAGATCCTTTGATAAATATTGGTTCGTTTCTTAAACTATCTTTCTTGGCGCTGGGATCTTTCCGGCTGGAACTTTCTGCTTTCGAATGTATGAAAGTTATCCTTTTTCTAATGAATTCTAAATATTTTCTATCAACCAGCTGGTACAGCAGCATGTGTTCCCTTAATATTGTTAGATGACTAGTATGTTCTTGCAAAATTTCCTGAGAAATTAAATTAAAAATTTAATAATGTCTCAGCAAAAAATAAATTAATCCAATAATTCAATTTAAAGTTTATTTCGGACAGGAATTGGTTTTATAATTTAAAGATGCTTACAGGAAGAGTTTTCATTTTTCCTTTTTCCAATGGATTATCACCAATAGATTTATCAATTGACTTTTTCAATCTATCAATAATTGTCGATTTGAATTGGTACGTATCCAGATCATCTTCTTGGCTATAAAATTGAAAATTAACATGTAATAAATAATAATTTCAAAATAAAATATGATTTTATTGGACATTGATTAGAGCAAAAAAACTACTCTAATAACTATGCATGAGTATGCAATTCTAAATAAATTTGAATAGAGTTGAAAAACTAAAACAAGAGGTTTTTGGCTAAATATTATCACTTGTAGGCTAATCCAATTATAAAGTAATAATTATAATATTGAATTACTTACCTAAACAACATAACATTATCGGTAGGTAATCTTTTGACTAGTTTATTTTTTAATTCAATATAATTCTCCCGTTCTATTTGAGTAATATATGAGCGAGTTTGAGATTCCTTAAGATGAGTATTATCCGAGTCTACAAATACGGTAAGCATTCGTTCAGGAGCTTCTTCGGAAATATCTGAAAAAAAAAATAATTTGCGATAAATATAAAAATAGATTGATAAAATAAATGATTCAAAACACTACTGTCTTAAAAACAAGATTTAATTTCAGTTAAATATATAAGACAAATGTGTATTTTCCATCAAAGCATATAATTTAAGAATCTATTTCTTAAATGCCTCCGCAGTCACGATGCTATTCAAATGTAGAAATTTCTCGTCATGAAAACATTTATTTGGAATGCCATTTCGTAAAGGTTCGATCAAATGCTTTAGAAAATTAGTCTTGAACTCAGATTTATCATTTAAAGAAATAAAATTGAATTGAGAGCGTACGTACAACAATTTATCGATGTTCCAGAAACGGATTTAAAAAAACATTCTCCAAAGAAAATTAGACAGACTAAAACATATTTGTTTTTGATAAATAGTAAAAAATTTGATTCATAATTACTAGAAGATTTTTTAAAAATTTTTAACTTTTCGTAGGGTAAGTTATAGTAATCGCAAAAAATTAAAAAATATTCTTTTTTTATATACCTTTACGTTTCAGATGTTTCTGAACACTTTGGCGTACCTCAAAAAAAGATGTATGTTCAGTTACAAATTTTTGTGGACGATTTCAGGAACACGGATCAACCGATTTGAATAATTAAAAAAACATTCGATTCTTATTAATAAAGAGACGTACTGATTAGTTTTTGGTAAAGGCAGGTCCAACCGTTTCAAAAACACGTAGCAAAAAGTGCGAAAAATAGTTTTTTACTTTTTGAGAGAGCAGAGCGTCCGATTTGAATGATCAAACATTTTATTTGCACTGTCGAAATGAAGAACTGGTAAAATTTTCGAGAAGGCAGATCTTGCGATTTTCGAGATTCAATGAAAAATTTAAAATAATGTCATTTGGCGGTCAAAAATGATCATTAGACATTTACACATCAAATTTTCAGATATTTTATATGTAGGCAGAATAATTGGTAGACATGTAGAACAGGATGACAGGTAAACCGGTAAACAGGTTAGTTGGTAGAGTTATAGAACTAGATGGCAGGTAAAGTGGTAAACAGGTATATTGGTTGACAGGTAAAATAGTATATTGATAAACAGGTTGATAAGCAAATTGGTAGACTGGTAAATTGATATAAAGGTGAGTTGCTACACTGGTAAATTGATGTACTGCTAAATTTAATAATAAGAGCAAGTTTTGTTCACATTTCTATGGGTTCCGTACCAAAATTTAACCGTTAGACTGCGACGCAGCGCTTACGCGCTTTGCTATTTCGTTTCTAGGTAGCGCTAACGCATCGATATTCTAAAAACACTTCTAAAATATTTCAAAATATAAAAAAAATCACATTTTTCACAGAGGTCAAAATTGTACAAAAATTTCAATTCTCAAAAATCTAATATTTTCAAAGTCTAAAACAAATACTTTTTTGAATCTTTAGAATTAAATCTTCATTAAAAAATATTTTTGGTACGAGAAGTTCCAGCAATTTTCCTTAAGGCACGATGCCATGAGCATTAGTTGCATTCCATGAGTTATTTTGATTGACATTAATTAAATTTAATTAGAGATAGTAGTTACCCCAGTGGGTATTTACTATTAGATGCAATTTTACTGGATCAAGTATAATAATTTTCTTAATCTTCTTACTTCTAGTGTATAGAACAGCAGAGGAACGAGTGAATTGTGGTAATTTTCTAATTTGTGATGATGATTTTTGGATCTTTTTTAAAAAGTCTTCAATATATAGCACAATCAGATCATTATGAAGAGTTTTATTGCTCACGTACCAAGGTGCATCTGTCATCATTCTAAGTAGTTTTTATTTGGTCCGCTACACCAATGCCATATTAGATTTGGTAGAGCAGCCCCAAATCTCTATACCATATGACCAGATTGGAATTCTTATTGTTTTATAAATCAAGATTTTGTTTTCGAGTGCTAATATTGGATTAAGTCCGAAAAGACCAAGACAAGTTCCTTAACTCTGGATTTGATAGTTTTGATTTTTGTTATGATGTGGTGTTTCCATGTTAGTCTGCAATTTAGATGCATACCTAGGTGTTTAACATAATCAGTACATGGTATTACCAATTACTAGAAGATGATTATAAGTCAATTATTGAAGTAATATCTGGATGCATCATCAAGAATGAAAACCATAAGAATCTCATCTTTCTATAGATCATATTTCCCACTCTTCTAATTATCCCATTACCAGTCTCATGGGGATGCTGAAATTATTCCACCAAATGCTTTCCGAAGTTTAGTCTAACTTTTATGCATATAATTTCAAACAGATATATAAACTTTCTAGAGTATCATCATGACAAATACCTATATTAATATCAAATCTAATAAACGAGAAAAATGTTTGATAACTTCTTATTCTTACGGGAGAAATTTTCTGTATTTGTTCCCATTGCCGCAAGTATCTTGAAAAATAGAAAGGTGGTTTAATAATGAGATGGAGAAAAGTTTCCGAATTGTTATTGATCCTATACAAAGAGTATTTTGATCGAGAAAAGAGTAATTTGTAGAAGTAATAATACTCATAAATAAGCGTTCATAAACATTTGTGTGTTTATGTGAGAGCTTTCTTCGTGATGGAATTATTTTATGAGTCAAAATTATGCTTCAGGTAATTGGCAATTAATTATGCTTTGTACATAATTAATTTATGAGATTTATCTGAAAATTTTAGCTATATTTCTATATTACTTGAATAAGATAAAAACTATAAATGTAAGACAAGATGTCAAAATTAAAAAATACTCTAAATACAACTGTAGAATGAATCTGGTTATATTTTGCCTTAAGGCATGTTCCACGAACAACCCGATGTGTGAAAATAAAAGTTTTGATATGAATTGAGATTGAGCAACTTTTAAAATTGTAATTACAAAGTTAATTTGTTGAACTATTAATGTTGTAAATGAAATTTCCGCATTTCACAAAAAAATAATAACATATGCCCAGCGTATGTTCTAAGAAGTTCGCTCATTAATCCAAACTTGAATGAGTTTTTATAATGAAATCACATTGAAGCATTTAATGTTCTAGAATGATAAAAAATGATCTTTTTTTAATTTCATTAAAATTGTCCCAAAATTGAGTCAACAATAAATACAAAGAAACGGCCTAGTTGATCTTTACTAGAAACTTGAAATCAGCACAATTTCCTTACGTTATCTTTCGATCATTTTTTTAATTTAAAATCGGTTCAAAATTTTTTGGCAAAAACGTAAATAGAAGTTTTTGAGAACATTTATAAAGAAATGGCTCATCCGATTGTTCCGCAAAAGTAATCACCTATTCTCAAATATAGGCAAAAGGTAAAATTGTAGTAAAGACGTAGGCAGGCGTTCAAGAGTCTAATTATAAAGAAACGGCTCATCCGATTGTTGTGCAAAAGTAATCAACTGAGTTCTCAACGAGTTTTATCAAATGGCTTCTATACTTTTAATATCGGCGCAGCCATTTTTGAGAAAACATAGACAAATGGTAAAATTTTAGTAAAGACGTAGACAGGCGTTTATGAGTCTAATTATAAAGAAACGGCTCACCCGATTGCCGCGCAAAAGTAATCAACGATAATTCTCAACTATAGTTTCATCAAATGGCTTTTAAATTTTTAAAATCGGTGTAGACATTGTTGAGAAAATATAGACAAATGGTAAAATTTTAGTAAGGACGTAGATAGGCGTTTAGGAATCTAATTATGAAGAAACGGCTCAGCCGATTGTTGGGCAAAAGTAATCAACGCGAGTTTTCAACGAGTTTTATCAAATGGCTTTCAAACTTTTAATATCGGTGCAGCCGTTTTTGAGAAAAAGTCGACGGAAAGGAAATCTTTGGCAAAAAAGTAGACAGAAGATTCTGAGACTAATTATGAAAAAAAACGGCTCTACCGATTGCCGAGCAAAGGGAATCAACGCGAATTCTCAACTAGTTTAATCAAATAGCTTTTAAATTTGTAAAATCGGTGCAGCGGTTTTTGAGGAAAGATCGACAAAAGGCAAAATTTTGGCAAAAACGTAGACAGACGTTTCTGAGACTAAACAATAATAAAGAAACGGCTCAACCGATTGTCGATGACTTAAAATTCTGAAAACGGTTCAGTCGTTTTTGAGAAAACTTTGGCTTAACATACATTTATTCCAATTGTTACTAACAAAACAAAATTAGCAAATAAGATTTTCTGGCAAAAACTTTTCCTCCAGAAACCTAATTAATTAAGAGCATTTGTTAATTATTTTATATTTAATTGCTTTCGTCTGGCATTCATAATTATAGCTCTATTAATAAATAATTATACTACATTATACAAATCCTATTTGATTAAAAGAGAATGACGCAGCCAAAATCCAGCTCCGAGATTCACAATTGATTGAATTAGTGACCCAAATACGAGACTCGCATTTAAATAAACTTTTTTTACGTGAAAAACTTTTCGTACCATTTACTTTTTATTGATTAAAGAGTATTTTTTCATTACATTACAACCCTCTTCTTCGTTCACGAGGAACGAAATTCAATTTGAGCATTATCGAACATTATTTACACGTGAATGGGGCACTGGGGGCTCCACTTGACATACTGATTGATGTATCTAATGTTCAGCTTCGACCGGCTACATTATGAATATTGATGAGTCTACAAAATATATAAAGGACACCCTGTCTAAGTGAGATGAACACAAACAAGGATTCTCACCGAAAATTAATTAGCACGAGACGTATTTGTATACATTTGGCTCGGAAAATAATTTCGTTTTTTGTCGACACAGGATTTAAATATGTTTTGTAACCAAACTTCGAGACGCAGGAGCGCTATTTTCAGTGTTTTGCTAACTTCTTTTATCAAACCGCTATAATTTAAAAAAACCGGTTCTGTATTTGTCTCGGTTCGGTTCGAGTTCTAGCTCAGCAGAAAAAAAGCGTTCTGGATTCCGGTTCATGGTTCGGTATAACAAGCCGGTTCGTTCCGGTTTTTGTTCCGTTTCGGGTTCGGTTCACACCGTTGTTTATAATAATACATATAAAAACTCGTCAAATATTATAAAAACTAGTGGTGCATGGCATCATGCCTAAAGGCAAATTGCTGGTACTTTCCGTACCAAAAACTTGTCGCCATCTTTCTAAACACTAATCAGCAAGTCTCCTTATCAATACGAATCAAATGTTTTTCGAATTATTCAAATCGGTTAAACCGCGTTCCCTAAATCGTCGAAAAACACACACACACACATGTATACATACTAGAAATGGGCTTATCATATCCGAAGCCAAATCGGTTAGGATTAGACTCCGCTTCAGAGAGGAGTTATATCCACTTAACAACTCCACAACTCCGACAACTTTGAAACATAATACTTGACACAAATGTGTTCTCTAGTGTGTTGTTAACATATCTAAGGATTTATTAAGATTTTGGAAATAGTTTACAAATCGTTCAAACATTTTTGTTCATTTTATTATAATAATTACTATTTTATGCATTTCAGTATGCATACAAATCTCAAATTGACAAAAATCTTGAAAATCAAAATCAATTTTGTAATTATTTTTGAAGGAAAAACATAGAATTCTTTGAATATGTTTATTAACTTCCCGTAGGGCAAGTTATAGTAATCGCAAAAAAATCGAAAATGAAAATTTTTATATATCTTTACGTTTCAGAGGTTTCTGAACATTTTGGCATACCTTAGAAAAAATGGATGTATGTGTGTGTGTGTGTGTGTGTGTGTGTGTATGTATGTATGTATGTGTGTGTATGTATGTGCGGATACAAATTTTCGTCGACGATTTCGGGAACACGGATCAACCGATTTGAATAATTCAAAAAACATTCGATTTGTATTGATAAGGAGACGTGCTGATTAGTTTTTGGCGAAGGCAGGTCTAGCCGTTCCGAAGATACGGGGCAAAAAGTGCGAAAAACGGTAACTCAGTTTTTAAGAGAACGGAGCGTTCGATTTGAATAACTCAAAAAACATTTCACTTGTATTGACAAGATGAAGAATCGATAAAATTTTTATGAAGGTAGGTCTAGCGGTTTCGGAAATTTGGCGGTCAAAAATGATCATTAGACATATGCACATAAAATTATCAGATATTTTATAGAGATTTTAACAATAAGTATACATTTTGTTAACATTCCTATGGGTTCCGTACCAATGCTTATGCGTTAGACAGCGACGCGGGGCTTACGCGCTTTATATTTTGTCCCTATGCAGTTAAAGCAGTGCGATTACTTTGAAAAGAAAGTTCAGATCTTCCACAATATGTCAAAATAAAGAAAAAAAATTTTTTTTCAAAAAAAAAAATTAAAAAAAAATTATTTTTTTTTTAATTTTTTTTTCAAAAAAAAGTAATTTTTTGTCCAATTTATAGTTTCTCAAAAATCTTATTCTTTCAAAGTAAATTTTTTTCAAAAATGGTAATCGTTTTTAAAAAAATAATAATTTTTGGTACGGGAAGTTCCAGCAATTTGCCTTAAGGCACGATGCCTTAATTGCCTTAAGACAGAATTCCACTTACAGCTAGTTTTTATATAAAAATAATGCAGTGAACCTTATATATGTAATAAGAGCAAATCTTTGCGTATAATATTTTTCACAAAATAATAATACTTCACATTCTGTTATTATTTCTTTTTCAAGAATTAATTATACATCAGGTAGTTTGATTAGTATACTCTCATTTTACGCAATTATCAAATCATAATTGTGCAAAAGTTTTAATATAATACTAAATATTTTTTAGCTTGTTGTATACCATTGAAAGAGTTCATTTACTGACAAACATTATCGTATACAGAATATAGAATACAAAATAGTATTAATTTGAGACATTATATAGCTGAAAAGTCCTAAAACTGGCTGTGAGACGAGAAAAAACACCACTTCTTTCGACCTAAACCTTTGTATTAGTAAAAAATCTCAAGCAAATATCTGCACATGTTAACAGATTTAGTATCAGTTTAGGGAAGTCGGATATGACAAATCCTGTGAGACAACTCCACTCGGATTCACTCCGAGGAAGGAGTTGTATCGGAGTGATACAACACGCACACATACATACATACACACACATACATCCAGATGTGCTAATTGATCTGCATTCTAAGAAAAGGCGATTGGGACTTTGCCCATTGAAAAGATGAGTACAAATACAACACAAGGTAAGAATGATAACATTCTAGATCCTCCCTCCACGAAATATTGCCTAACGGCGGTTTTCGTGGGGACCAGAGGCAACGGCAAAGCGGAGGTTTTAGTCGGTATTATACCAGGGCGGTATTGAGCCCAGCATAACCAGACAAAAGACCAGTCTAGAATGCATAAAGGCATTTCCTTCCTTTTCTTAGAAGACGTAAAGATATGTAAAAAAATTTTTTTGCGATTACTATAACTTGCCCTAAGGGAGTTAAAATACAACAAAGACTTAAAAAGAAATTTTTAAGAAATCATTTTTCTAAAAATGAAGAAGTACGAAAAGCAAGTACTGAAACTGGTTATATTGCACAGCTTAATTATAAAAAAGTTTAATTTTATTCGCATGATATAATTTAAAGTTGGTTAGTTTAAATTAACAGGCAGTATTTGCAACATAACTCAATTTTTGCAGTATATTTTAATTTAATTGTTCAAGATTTGTTGAAGTTACGCTTGAGCCAGAAATCGTTGGTCAATTTTGGAGTTGAATATGCACCACACTCAGTAGGCCATAGTGGTTTAGCAACCACTGGTTCCGGGTTCGAAATCCATTTTGCTTGATATCAAGCACTAGAGATATCTGATAGTCACTTAAAATTATAGATCTCAAATATGATGTAAAGCCAAAATGTTCGGAGCATTGCTCATTTTATATTGACATCACAATTAGAAATGTATCTAATATAATTTCATAAGAAAATTGCCAAATACTGAATTATCTACTAGAAATAGGTTAAGGAATAGACATCAAACAGTTAAATAGATGATGAAATGTTCTTAATAAATGCACTGCGTTCTAGAAGAGTAATTATCATTTTGATAGGCTTTGCTCAACTTTTAATTACTTTCTAAACATCCTTTCCAAATGTAGTTTTTAATTTGGTCCACTTTATTTCGAATTGTTGGTCAAATAAGATCTTCACAAATCATTAATCTGGATTATTATAGACAGGGCAGATAAACGAGTAGACAAGAAGTAGGAAAGAAGAAAAGTAAACAGGCAAACAGTTTGGAAGTCTTTATTGGTAGACAGGTAGAGAGCTAACCAGGTTATCAGGTGAAAATATAGAAGAGGAGGCATGTAGACAGACTGGTAGACTGAATATGATATACAGGTGATGTGGAGAACAAGTGGACATGTAGGCAGGTAAACAGATGGACAGGTAAACAGATGAATAGATAGACAGGTAAACAAGTAGACAGATAGGCTGGAATAAATGTAGAGAGGTGGACAGGTAAACAATTAGGTAAGTAGAGAGGTAGACTGGTAGATCGTATATAAATTGAATCAATATTATCTATTAGATCGATTATTAATTATTATTATAATTCACACATATCATGCAAATTCCCAGAAGACAAAATGCCACTTACAACCAGTAGATAACTGCATTAGTTTTAGTTTGTTATACATAAATACAAATAAGAGTGACTGATATTCAATAAAAATGTGAAACGTAAAATACTTATCATTTTTACTAGCTTTTTTAAAATATTACAGAAAACAATTGATTTATTATAGTATTCTTAGTAGTTTTATCAAACATAGACAATACAAAAAATTTACAATATAAATTATCGTAAATTTTTAATAAATTCTCTCAGCACAAAAATTTCTTTAGTCTTCTATTAATTGAAACTAAATCAAGCAAAAGCCGAAAGTTTTTGTATGCTAATTATTTTAAATTTCTCTTAATGTTTATAAAAAAATTCTATTCAACATAAGGAAAATTTTTAGACTCTACTGTTAATTAAAATTAAAATTATTTTCTTAGACATCCGCACTGTTTAACAGTTTTATATAATAACTTATTTTAACAAAATACAATATTTGTTATTTGGTATTATGGAATAAAAAATTGCATAAAAATACTAATAGTAAGTTGATTTTATATTTCTTATATGGTTGTATTTGCAAATTTCTCAATTATTTAAACACAAGTGTAGGTACGATTTTGAACAATACTTCCTATAGATTGTTTCAAAGTAAAAATATAAATCTATTAAACCGATTTAAATGTATTTGTGAAATCGTCAATGAATGTTGAAATCGGAGAATAGATACACAGAAATCATTTTCTCATGAGTGCTAAATTGAGTGAAAAAATCCCCAAACTTCTGATTATATAAAAAATTGAAGAATATTTAGACTTACCTAACGTATTGAGGCAAAGAACTTCCATCGTCGATCTCAACAACATCTTAATGTCTTTCAAAAACGTGCACTTATTTTTCAATAAATTACTAAACTTACAGTTAAAACTACTAAAATTATCACTAGAACTTGTTAATTTATCACTTTTGTTTAAATCTTCGATTTTTTGCAAAATCCAGCAGTTCATACCGATGATGTTCTTCAAGGCTCGAATTAAATTTGATTTTGTTCGATGCCATTCTTCATAGGAAACATTGCTGAGGATAAAAAAAGGTTAATTGTAACCAGAAGTAAAACTAGAATTAGTCAAATATACATAAACAAATTATTCGCAAAATATAGTCTTTTGTTCAATGAGAAATTTATTACTATATTATGTACCTGTAGTCTTTCAATATGTACAAGGTATCTTCTTTGATGTACCACTGTTTCACCAGATCAACATCGCTATCGATATCATCAAATTCTTCAAATTTTTCGTGCTCCTGAAGCTTTCCAATATCATGTATTAATTTTATATTTTCGATCAGTTCATGGAAAAGTTGTGCCTTTATGCGAACGGGTAAAATCTTATCGGTATTGAGATTTGAATCGGATAACAAACCCTGGAAAAAATGCAATTAGACAATCAATAATAGTATTTGTATAAATATAAATTTGTTTTTAAGTAAAAGGTCTTATAATAAATTTATTAGGAAAACGAGGGACAAAATTAAGGATGATGTCTCAATGGAAAGAAAGATCGAGGCATCATCGGTAATTACATTGCTGATATTTATGAAAAGACACTGATTGAGTTAAATAAATAAAATTAAAATAAAATAGAATTAAATTAAATTGAATATGTAAAAATGTTATATTTCCACTGCTTAAAACTGTAAATATATAAGAGTTAAAGAAGTCATGTGTATATATTTATATATTTTATCCCACCAGTCTGATTATGATCACTAGCTGATGATTACTAGTGATTAATAGTACATTAAGTTAGCAAGAATTTTTTTAAATCAACTCCAAAACAAAATATTAGAAAAAGCTCATAGAGACTTATTCTAATATTAACTAATAAGTCAACAAAATGAGTAAAGTTTTAATATAAAACTAGATGATCCGACAGACGTTGTCCTGTACTTATGTTTACAATTGAAAAGTTTATTTTTTATTAACCTATACTGATATGTACCAATTAGTTAAGAATTATTATGTTACATTCACCCATACGGATCTTAAATGTACAACTGCTTTAAATAAAATGATGAGTATTTGCTTTTTATCCGACGTTATTTTGAAAATAATGAAATTACACCACTGAGAGGGATGTCATCCCACCGGGAAATGGCAAAGAAGTCTAAATTATCTTCACTTTTAAACTTGAGAGTAAGATAAACCTAATTTCAAAATTTCATACAAATTGGAGCACAGTAAAAAATTTCAGACCCAAAACTCTCTATTGACTTGAGTAAATATTATTCCGTATCCGATGGCAAAAATATGAAAATACTAACGTTTGTATGTGAAAAAGGGCTGTTTTTAGGGTTTTCCCAGCAATTATTCGATTTTTTCTCGCCGTAAGAACCGGTCTTGGACTTCGACCAACATTTTAAAAAAATAATTGGCCAAGTTGGTCCAGGCGTTGTTAAGTTATGCGCTTACCAACACATTTTGCGATTCATACTACAGAAGATAAACTAAAATTGTACATCAAATAAAGGAAGACTAAATAGAAATATATAGAAATAATATAGTATAACTACCATTCGTTGTTACATCAAGTTAGAGTCAAAAAGTTTCTTGGAACAATTTATAACAGTTTTGTTTTGTTATTAATTAAAAGAGATTTAATAGAGCCTTACAGTTTATATACTTCTATATTCTATTCAACTACTTTGATTGTTATATAATACTGTTCAAAAAATTATATGAATGGCAGAATAACTAAAATTTGAACTAGAAAAAGTTTGAATCAACTATAGTAACTGGTGTGCACTTTGAATAAATTTTAAGACTACTTAGCAATTCTTGTAGGTGACTAACTTGTAAAAGTTTTTGCAAAAATTGAAAATAAGTTAAACTAACTACCTATTTATTTGTACAAAAAGTCAAATTTTAATATACATTAGTGATATCTTTTTTATCATATGGAATATAGATAAATATGTAAAAATAACGATATAAAATATGCATAACTTATATGAAAAAATGCATATTTGCATACCATACCAATATGCAGCTATAGTAATTACTAAGTAAGTACTATTATGCAAATAATATTAATCATAATGTAAAACGACATTTCTTGAGATGAGTCCATGTTTAGTGATTATTTATCCATCATTTAGATTAACTTATTCAGCATTTTCACCATTTAATTTTTTTTAAATATTTGATATATTCCTTGTAACATTTGGTTTTAGATCAAATCTTTGCTTTGTTTAAATTCAACAAATTAAAATTCTAAACAAAACAAAAATTCAAATCTGAATAAATATTTTGAATGATAAGTATATTTATTTGTGTTGCATATTCCACCAAGAAAATGTAAAACCCATTTTTAGAATCGTATTCAAGTGGTGCTTTGTTTGTTCTAGAAAACGATTTACAAAACATTTAAATTGGAATAAATTGTCCAAACAATAAAATATTTATTTCAAGCATTATGAAACATCTGTGACAAATAATGAATATCACATATGTACATAATATATGGACACATTTAAAATTCAAGATATTAAAATTAAAAATACGTACTATGAAAAAACATCCCTTGGAAACATCGTGGCAAATTTGAATTTCGCAGAAAATATCTTTTAATGACGAAGGACATTCTGCTGAATCTTTTTCATCGGCACCGTAGTGAAAATCAACGATTTCAACCTGAAACACAAATTAAATTAAATATAGATTATATAAATTATAATATAAATTATTAAATTGTAATATTTTATTATAATATATAATAATATTATTTACATAATATATTATTATGATATTATGTTATAATAATTTATTATATTATTAATATATGAAGGGTTAATAATTATGTAGTTTATTATTGGTTATGATATATAATACAATATTATTTATTAATATTTATGGTGGTTTTGATACTTTATTATAAAATATTCGACAAACATGAGTAACATAATAATGTAACTGATAAAACACTAAAATGTTCATTAACGTAATTATTTTTTTCAATTTTTATCAATTTTGTTAACTACATCAATACATCAATAATTTCCAAAAGCCATTGAAAATTTCTATCAAAAATTGTGGTAATATAATCATTGATATAACTATTCGAGCGATATCCAAAGAACAACTATCTATATAATGATTTATCATTAATTAAAATAAATGATATAATATTGAATGATTTTCAAGTTCCAAAGACTATTCAAGAATTTTGAGATAAATATTTAAATCAATGACAAAATCTGTATCATCTTATATTAATTATTAAGTATTATGAATAACATCAAGAAACTAATATTCTATTCTACAATCATTATACTATTATAAAGTTACTTCATTCAAATATCTAAAAAAGGAGAGAACCGAATATTTTATTTAATATGACGCATTTCATTATATTAAATCACTCTAATCATTTACTGAAAATGGCAAAATTTAATTAAAATTTTGAAAAGTGCATAAAAGCATACTGAACGGAAAAAGTAATTATTGAAAAAGAACTTTCTATTAAATTAAATCTATAGTTGAAGTACTGTTTTCCAATTAATTCCATCATATAAAAGAGCCTACAAATAATATAAAAAACATGAAAATATTTTAACTAAGCTAATATAGAATTTCAATAATGTTTATTAAAAAAATGACCTGTTTTTTCGGATTACAAAAGCTTCGTAAAAAATAAAAATAAACGACAATTTCTATCAATTCATCAATTTTTTCACAATCGTATAAAACAATTTAATGGCTAAAAAATAGTAGAAATTTGCAAGTACTAATTTAAACTAGTGGTATATGGCATCGTGCCTTAAGGCAAATTGCTAAAACTTCTCGTACCATAATGAAATATTAGAGAAATATTTAAATGTTTTCAAATAAATTAGATTAATATAAATACAGTAACATTGTCTACTATTTATAAAAATTAAATAAAGGGAATTACAAAATTAAAATTATTTATTTAAAAAGTATATAAATGAGCTTTAGAACTTTAGCCAGAATTAAAATTAAAATTTGAACTATTTTCGATATACAAAAAAAAATTTCTTGAAAAAAATTGAAATAAAATTGGTCTTGTGAAGTTCTGCATATGTGTAATTAATATAAATTAAGAATGCGCATCATTCAAAACCTTTTTCTGGACATTAATAATTTTTTATAATTCAGTTTTTGTGAGCCTATAAATTTTAATATGTTAAGCATCATAAACGCTATCAAATTTTCATTAGAATCGTCCGAAAATAAATAATATTAATTATGAAGAAGATCTTTACCAAAAACTAATCAGCAAGATTTGTAAGTGATATCTTTCGAATACTTTTTGAATATTCAAATGGTTCAGGATTTCTGACTGCAACGAGAAGGATTTTTTTTACTTATTACTAATTACTTTTTACTTATCTGGTAACTATAAAGAAACGACTCAGCCGATCAGCAACGAAACTAATCGACACGAGTTCTTATAGAGTTCACCGAATGGTCTTTAATTATTTTTTAAGTAGAACTTCTTTAGGCGCGACTAGGGTGTAAATCCGTACAAATGCAACGGAAGTGCGTTACGGCAGAGTCGAGTGCCAATAATTCGTCATTCGCTCTTGATGATTTCATTTCTATACGAGTCGATTGTGATTGTGATTAGCCGTCGCGTGCCGCGCTTTTAGGACAAGCAAGAGTGTTTGTGCATTATAATTAATTCAATTAGTTAAGTTTGTTTGAAGATAATATTAATTCGAAATCGCATTAATCATAGTTTTTATTGAGAACAAAAAATTTATTTTTGCAATAAACAGCTCAACATTTTGTATTAATGTATATTTGCTTACTATAATTCTGTTAATAAAGTCGCTCATTACCTATATCAGGCAGTTTATGCAACTTGCCTTGAGGCAAAATGCCACATACACCTGGTGTAAAACTCAATTCATTCTTATTATGACATAATACATAAAGAAAAACTTTTAGAACATCAGAGCTTTATATATAGAATCTACTTTCATCAGTCCATTACCTCAATTTTCCTCTCGTTGTATATCGCCTGAAGTTCCGGACCGACCACTTCCAGCAATGAATTCCTTTCGTCCACAAAATCTATAAAATAAAATTATAACAATACATAAACTTTGACATAAAACAAACATTGATATGTAGACTTATGTCGGATAAAATAGAAAACTTGGAGGAAATCGATCCGTATTTTTCTTCTGAGAGATTGAAATATCATGAACTCAAAGAAGCATGATATCGAATGGAGCGGCATAAAAATATCATGAAAATAGATGCTTCAGTTACGATATTGGATACGACTTGCTTTTATGTTTTTCTATGAATAGATGTTATTGGAAAATAAGTTCCTGTCGAAGTAGTCGACATAGGTATATGTACTTGTTTCAACATTGCAAAAAAAAATCATATAGAATATGTAGAAGTATCATATAATTACACATTTGTAAGATGTTCTAGAATCCGCGGTGAATTAAATACTTTTATAATTAGGTAAATTAAACAAATAATATTAAAAAATACCCAAATAAGTTTGAAATGCAGAGTGGAATAAATAACATGTAAGTGAATGTTTTTTAAAATCAAGTTTGAAGTTATTTATTTGGAAGATATAATGTAGAATAGAGCAAAGCTTAAAGATCCGCGGGTAAAAAGGTCCACCACCAATATCTCAAAAACAAGTAAAGTGAGGTATTTTTAAACAACAATATATGAAAGTAGAGGGCAAAAGATGTATAATCAACCATCGCCCTAAATAAGCGAAGTCGCTAAATGGTCATTTATCATTATTGAAAATCTATGAGAAAAGTATTTTATCTTGTGTGCGTACTATTTTTAGGTTACAAGACCTAAATATAAGGTTGTTCGGAAAGTCACTTCGATTTTTTTACCACCAGAATTTAATTATATTTTTTTAAACCTAACATTATACTTAGACCCTATAATTATTATATGATTTGAAAACTTATATTTTAAGGCTTGTGTGTAAAAAATTCTGATCAATTACATGCAGCATTTTTGGATGGTGCCACATTAAAGACGGAAAGAATTAAGCAGCATTTTCAACATGTTTTACTCTTTTGCTATAGAAAAGGTAAAAATACTATTTAAGTCAAAATGAAATTGACCTATGTGATGACTAGTAAGGCAGTGCCAAAATTGGTTTGTTAAATTTTTGTCCTGGTATATTGATGTCCAAGACGCACTAAGTATAGGAAGTACGGTTGTACAACCGGCAAATAACAATACATGAGATTCCATTGAGTTAAAAATTTCAAATTTAACAGTTCATGACCACTCAAAAGGTTTGGCATTTTCCTCGAAACTCAATGTATGGTTCTCATAGAAAGAAACGTGTGTAATCGCACTGGCGTTTGCTATTCGACCCTGAAAAGTCCTCAAAATTATCACGTTTTGAAGCGAATTGTCACTAGAAATGTCAAATGGGATATAAAGAATACAATACATGCAATTGCCCATGAAACAAAAAAGAAAAACCTGCTCAAAACAGGTGCACAGCTGAAATTTGCCAGAAAAAAGTGATGCAGTATCTTTGGTAAAACGTTGAAGGAGTTGTTTATTTTTCAGCTTTTCCAGAACAACATAACAGTTAATTCGGATGCCTTAACTAAATGATATACTTCAATAGAAAATGTCAGAATTAACCCACAAGTAAGGTATAGTCCGGCATCAAACCGGCGCAAGACCTCACATAAGCTTCGTCAATCGCCAAAAGCTTTTGTAGCTCAAATGGGACCCAATAACACCATCATATTCTCCAGACCTGCCATCAACGATGATATCTCTGACAAAATATCAGATTAAACCACCGTTGTATATAGTGTATCAAAGTTGTATTCAGTGTTATCTTTATCAAAAATGTGATTTTCAATTGGTCGAATATTCTAGCTATTAAAATAAATGCAAATAAGACATTGGATCTGTTTGCCCCATAGCTGTCCCATTTTACCCCGCCAATGGGGTAAAAAAAATAAGTGAAAATTTTTAGAAAAATAGTAAAAAAGCACATTTATATAATTAGAAGTTAACTGACAATTTTACTGAACATAGTTCGATAGTTATTTGTTTGATATGTGTTATGTGTTGCGATGAAGTTCATTTGGTATAGACAGTATAATAACCTAAAGTCAAATTGGGCCTTTGTGCCCCGCCCTACTTTATATAAAAAATTAGATATTTTCGATTTTAGATATGTTAATTAATAATAATAAGCAGTAGCTATAAATTAGTATATGAACTTTACCCAGATCAAAAATTAAAATATGACATAAAATAGTTTAGATGTATTATAATAAAAATATAAATGCAAATGTATATTTTTGTAAATAACGGAAGCCAATCAATACTTTAAAAAAATCTTTTTTATTTGTTTATCATGCACGTTTCTTGTTCATTATGTGGATTTTGTGATTTTTTAAAAACTTTTTGTTATGTTATATGTAATGAAGAAAGTACCAAATAGGATTCAATAAGTATGCAAAACTTATTAAAATAATTTTAAACTTTGTTTACTTTAAAAATATTTTAGACTTTTATTTTTATAATTAGATGGAATTGCTGTTAAACTTTACTGTTACATGTGATTTTCAATTTGCAACAAAAATATTCCAATTAAGGTTGTTAGAAATGCATCCATTTTAATGAAGAAAAACTGAAGTACATTTCGAGTTCTACATTTAATTCCTATTCTGGAGGAAAAACTATTCAGATAATTAAGAAATGCTTTTTCTTATGTACAATGATATAAAATGATAAAATCAAATATATAGATACAAAAAGTGAAAAATATAAAATAAAAATAAAAAATGTATTTTATTCAATGCTAAACCTTATTGTATTCAAAGTATACATTTTCCAATTAAACACAATTTAATAGTAAAATTTGTAATAAAAATATGCATTTTTTGACTGAACAGTAATAACAGTATCTAAGAATTCATTGGAGTGTCAAAATAATCTATCATCACTACTAGTAATTAAAAATTAAAATATTCGATGTTAAGAAAAAAAAATCTAATTTCTCTGTACCACTTCCAAAAATAGCACACCGGATCTAAGTAACTAACATAGAAAGCATAAAGTTACCAAAATAACAAATCAAGAATTCAGCAAAATGAATGATTACTTTAGAATATACACATATATATTCGCTACACATACAAAAATGTTAAAATATAGAACACTTACATAATATCGACATCAGATTATAAAGTAAACTCACCAGCTTTGTTGCAGGCCACAAATATCTTGACCAGCCCGACGCCAGGCCACACTTTGTTATTGTTTATCAAATACTTATTATAAACGTAATCGAACTTATTCAATTTGTCGACGAATAACTTATTTTTTGGTTTATATTTGATTTTATCACTTTGAGAGGGGGCCAGACCCCCTCTCAGCACTCTTAACACGTTCTGATCCATTTTAAACTTCAATTAATCCAGATATACATTGTATTGGAGAGCACCTGGAAATAAAAAAAAAAGTTAATAAGAAATAAACATATTTTATATACATTTCATTTTCAGTTCTTTATGATTTTATAAAAACATTTGATAAAATTGTCCAAGTTTAGGATCCGAGACCATCAACATGGGTGAATCCGCAAACGATTAGACAAGTTTAAACCTATAAACAGTACCATAGTCTAAATAAAGTCTTATATTAGTTGTACCTGAGATATTACCAAGAGATCACTTTCTATTACAATTTTATTTATGCAATAAATTATTGTGTAAAATTGTAATAGTTGTTAAAAAGATACAACCGTATCTGCGTGAATCATTCTTTGATTAAATAAACATTTTGATATTGTATATGTTTCATTATCGCTGGTCAACGTATAAATAAATATTATGACTCTTCGGCGTAATTTATGTACACAGAAATAATACTGTTTAATGTTAACTAATATTAATAGTAATATATACACATATACTATTAATTGTAATACATACATACACATACTCAAAAGCTGAAACAAAATTATAAATAAATAGTGATGAGCAGCAGAACAAAATAGAAATCGACATATACAAATCTAGAGTGACGAAAGTGTCTAAAAGATACGTGTCTTTAAAAATCCTAAAGAAAAATCTTGGTTTGGAAATTATTGGTCAGGACGAGGATCATTTGAAGTACTTGAGAAGCATTATGGCTATAGTACGAATAAAAGACTCTACCAACGTGCAAACAAATCTCGATTTACAAAAGAAACTAATGAAGTTCAACATCTGCAGTATTGCTCTAGATGTAGAGTCCAGCGGATCAGAGACACGGACTTTATAAAGACCGACAAAAACTATCTCAAGAGTTTCGAGATTTGGTGCCGACGAAGGATGGAGATGGTAATATGGACCGACACGATAATAAATGATAAAAAATACAGCAAGGAGTAGAAAGCAAAGAATTCTACTGGAACATATCCTTAAGAGAAGAAAAGGAATCTAAATTCAACTTTTTTTTAGCAAAAACAGTTGCTTTCTGTACGATACCATCTAAGGAAATATACAAGGTCCGAAAAGACGAGGGCGAAAAAAATGTAGCTGATTGATGACCTATGCAAAAAAAAATAATATATAAGGTTAAAAAGCCAAGGCAATAAAGTACAAAAGAGAGTAGAGAGGTATAAAATAAATGCTATTCTTTCATACCACTGGCATGTCTACGGGCAATATCGTTAATAATAATATATATTATTATTATACGAGCTAGTTTACTCGTAGCTTGTAGATAGTCACCAAATTTCCATACTGCAAAAAACTTATATTTTAATGTTTAGGAAAAGAAAATAAGAAATCCTGATGTAAACTGTCGCGCCAATTTTTGAAAATCTATTCGCCAAGGCTCTTATTAAGACCGTCCCTATGGGTCTAGGCACAAGCAACATGCAAGAAGGCCGGAGCCTTCTTCCGAAGACTTCCGAAGCCCCTTCTGAGCGAAATACGATCGAGGACGATAATAATGGCTCTCTTCTACCACGGACGCTCTCGATAGAACATCTTACAAAAATTACATAAATCGACGTTTTAGTTTTCTGATATATTATTAAATAAATTCAAACTTGATATATCTAGTTGTTGTTTGATCTACATACTTCGCTTATTAATCATCTTCTATATAAATCTATAATAATATACGCGTTTTCACGCTGATGGCACAACAAAACTCTCAAAATAGTAGTAAAATGAGTGAAGCTATTTCCTAGCTATCGATATAAATGACAATATTACAAAGGCATTTAAACTTTATCGAGAGCTGAACTAAAAATGTCGGATAAAAATTAACGAGACCAAGTCTAACCATGCAACATTTACAATCAACAAGATAACATGACCAGGAGTGCATTTTTTGACCAGGTAATACTAATTGCTGATTATGTTGAATACCTAGGTATGCATCTGGACTGCAGACTAACATGAAGATACCACATAACAACAAAAAATCAAAACTCCCAAATCTAGATTTGGGGATCTTCATTGGATGTAGACTAACATGGAAACACCACATCCCAACAAAAATCAAAGCTACCAAATACAGAGTTGGGGAACTTTAGTGGGTGCAGACTAACATGGAAACACCACTTCACAACAAAAATCAAAACTACCAAATCCAGAGTTGGGAAACTTCATTGGATGTAGACTAACATGGAAACACAACATCACAACAAAGATCAAAACTACCAAATCCAGAGTTAGGGAATTTTATTGGATGTAGACTAACATGGAAACACCACATCACAACAAAAATCATAACCACCAAATCCAGAGTTGGAGAACTTTATTGGATGCAGACTAACATGGAAACACCACATCACAACAAAAATCAAAACTACCAAATCCAGAATTGGGGAACTTTATTGGTTTATCGGACATAATTCGAAATTAGCACTCGAAAACAAAATCTTGGTTTATAAAACGATAAAAATTCCTATCTGGTCCTACGGAATAGAGCTTTGGGGCTGCTCTATCATATCTAATTTGACATTGGTACAGTGGACCCGATAAAAACTACTTAGAATGATGAAAGGTGCACCCTGGTACGTGAGCAATAAAACCCTTCATGATGATCTGAATGTGCTATATATTGAAATACTTTATAAAAAAAATCTACGAGTCATCATCACAAACTAGAAAATCACCCCAATTCACTCGTTGCTCCGAAGTAAGAAGATTAAGAAAATTATTATACTTGATTCAGTAAAATTGCATCTAATAGTAAATACCCACTGGGGTAACTACTAGCTATAATTATATTAAATTAATGTAAATCAAACTAACTCAAAGAATGTAATTATTATTCTGATTGTTAGTAATAAAAGAACAAAAAGGCATTCGGCTACTCTACATTTATTAAATGCATTGTAACATAATGTACACTCTACATTAAGTTATAATGAATTTAATAAATTGTAGAGTAACTGAACGCAGCAGTATAGGTGAGCAAATTCACCTGGTGCATGAATAAAAAAATCGTCCATGATAAATTTAGGCGATTTTTGATCAGCACATGGTGAGGCCGATTATAAATTTGACGGTACCAAGTAAAGCCGATTTCCAAGGATTTACCGGCTGATAAAGCTCATGTTTTTTACCCTTTGCACTCGAATGTATAACATATCGTATGTCGATTATATAGAGACACATGAATGTATATATATACCTTATACTTGAGTTTTAATAATAATAATATAAAATACAACAATTCATGATTTATTTTTCAAAAATTTTATGATTACGTTTATGTTTACCAACGACTTACAAATTTATTGGTTAAATTTAAAATACTGCTAAAATTAGAATGCTTGTTATTTATTTATTTAACGTGTAGCGGTCTTTCAATAAGTTGACCAAAAATGTTTACTTTATAAACATAGTTCTTGTATACCAGCCGTATTTTAAGTAGTATTTACTCTGAATATTAAAAAATGCACCATAAATATTTAAATACAGGAGAAAGGTGTTCAATGTTTAGCATCAGAGAAAACCTGACTTAATTTCTAAAACACAATATTGCTTTTGTGGTTAAATTTCGTTGTACTAAATTATATTGATTTTGAAGTTAAACATTTACATAGAGAAAATTATTGAAAATTACCAACCGGCCGCCTACATCTCAATGTTCTGCCCGAGGGCGAACCCGGAGTTCCACTTCAACTTGAATTTACGTTTGTATATATGATTATTAACGAGAAATAGATACAATAATAATGAAAACAATAGAATGAGATTCAAAATTTTAATAGTTACATAAAATCTTTAACTGTCCTGTAACAAATAAATGTAATTGAATTTTCAAATTTTTAAAAATGATCGAACATTTTTAGAATTTCTAGCATATAGTTAAAATTTTGATCAAATAAAATATATGTATGTATCTAATAAGTAAAAGTACATACTGAATAGACAATATAGTAAACTTTGAACGTAAAACTCTAATAATAATAAGTCAGCGATACATAACAGAATCAAATAAATCAAATATAGCATATAAATGGAATATCTATATTTTAGGTAAATAGAATACGAGCAATGTCACATAGGATCCATGTATTCTGTTACTAAATACAAGAGCTGTCAAATACAATCCATTGAATGTAATATAAATTAGCGGAGCTAGGGTTAACTTAAGGGTAAAATTTGGATACATTTATGGGGGTAACTAGTAACAGACGTTTTCCAATAGGATCCTAAAAGATTTTGAAATATTTTTTTATATCAATTGAACATGTAAACGTTGTTCATAATATTGTTATAGATACTGTCCTGCAAGTCGACGTAATGAACATAAATGTGCAGGTCATTTTTGGTAGGACATAAAATTGATCTATTATATTCTGGTTTGAGTTATTATTAACGACTAATTGATCTATTATATTCCGGTTTGAGTTATTATTAACGACTAATTCAAAATTCATTTTATCTCGTTCCAAATTTATCAAGTACCATTTAAACAATTTAGATTGCAAATTTTGAAGAACTACTTAAAACAAGTCAATTTTCTTAAAAATTTAATAAAGAATAAATTATCATAGGTGCACAGGTGTTAGTGTCTTTTTTCGTAGTTACTACTTGCCCCGGTAGATGTTGCAACTATCCCCAAACTCGGGGTAAGTCGTATCTACGCACTTTTTCTGAATAATATTTGATTATGGAATAATAAACTACAGTTGTGAAATTATTTTTACTTGATTTGATAGAGTAAAACAGTAACTACCCATCTCTATTTCGTAGGAATTTAATCAGTGAATCTCAAAATATATTAAATTTTTTCTACAACTATCCCTTAGCTTATATCCTATATGGAATATAAAATAGTATTCATAGAGTACTAAGCATGTAGTCAGATAAAATACGTAGATAATAAAACACTGAAAATGTTAAATAAATATATAAATATCAAATAGAATGCATGGAATGCCCAAATAGTCCAGAATATTAATATTAAATAAAAACATTAAATTAAAAA